GTCTCACAGCACCACAAACATTGCTGAAATCCCTTGAGTCGTTGGATTATCCAGAATTTCTTGACAAACATTTTAAAAAGATTGAGCCGGGGGTGCGGTGAAATTCAAAGAGTTGCAGATTCAGACACGTTTTGCAGATTCATAAAATACACTATACAATGTCAGAGTATCGTGCGGTTATTCAAGATGCAAATTTGCTTCTTTCATGTGAGTCGTATAAGTGAATTACTGAAAAAGCATGGACAAGCGCCGATTCGTATAAAGCAAGTTCATTTTCAGCTGAAAAAACTCTGATAGATGTTGATCCTCCAGTAATTATAGTTGGCGATATCCATGGGCAATTCAACGACCTTATCAATATGTTTCTTTTACTTGGAAGACCACCAGAGAAACGCTATTTGTTCCTAGGCATGTCATTTCTCCATGATATTTGAACAATTTAATTGTCAGACAATTCCAAACCAACACGACAGAAAGAATACTCAATCAAAATAAATGACAAATCCTCAAATAGAATGGGAGTAAAAAGTTTAACAAAAATACGTAACTAAAAGCTAACAGCGTCTCTCTACACATTTCAAGTAATCAGTCATTGTGTAAAGTAAATTTTCCAGATGAGTTAGTCGAGAGTGTGTGCCACTTCTGCACGGCTGAAGTTAGCGTCCAGGCAAATCTGGCCTACGAGGATCTCACTTGGAAAGTAGTTTCGAATTCCTAGCAAAGGCACTGCCCAAGCGGCTGCGCGAATGCTTCGCTTACGCATGAGATATTTGCATCCAAAGTGGACCTCGGGAACTTATTGACGGACGATTTGCATCGGGTTCGCATGCTGTTGCACCAGGGCCATCCGAAAGAGATGGTGTTGAGGCAAATCATCCAATAACACGATCCTGAGACTAAGTTTGGAGGCGAACATCTTAGCCGTGAGTGCACCGTCTGAGCTGCTACTCGGGCAGTGTTTGCTAAGGCCTCAAAATTACATTTCACGTGAAGTCCCTATATACCAGATTTGCCCGGACGCTGCCTTTAACAGAGGAATTTGCAGTATGAATGAGAATTTTTGACTATTTTTTAATTCTCCAACAAACATATTGTGAGTTTTGGGCCATTGTCCATATGTACATCAGCGATCAACAGTACTAAGCTTTGCCAGGTCGTAACTTATCGCCTGCGAAACTGTTCAAGCAGGCCGTCACAGAAGCCTCAACCACGCAAACGAACGAGATCACCTTTACAGTCTCAAATCGCTTCAAGTGATTGGTGCCCAAATCAATTAGCACACGAGCATTTTTCGGTTGCTTTCAGTCTTCAAGTGACTGAAGCCCAAATCAGTTACTTCATTCACTTGGAGACTGAAAGTAACGGAAAAAAACTGAATGTGATATTGGGTATAGCGGAAGCAATGGTAACGTCTTACCGGCTTTCTCAATCAGACGCAGTCCAATGTTTGAGCGGCACGCGT